GGAGAATAACCTGGACAGATGAGATAAAACTGGAGCTTTCTGGTAAGCTTAATATTCATAGATGGAAAAATGAAGCATACCACTAAAAAAACACTGTCCCTGCAGGGAAAAATGGAGAAGGCTCGTTTACATTGTGGGGTTGCTTTTCTGTATCTAGTGAAAACTATCAAGGCATTTTTGAGTAAAATGTGCTGTCTGTGAGAAAGCTTGGTCTCAGTTGCAGGTCATTGGTCTTCCAACAAAACGAAAACCTAAAACACACAGCTAAAAAACACCCAAGAATGGCTAAGAGCAAAACATCGGACAATTGTGAAGTGGCCTTCTGTGAGCCCTGCTCACAAAAATCTTTGAGCTACATCTGCCCAATGGGCCTACTCGCCAATAATTTGTGCTGGAAATGCAGGACGGAAGCAGGAGCTTTTATACATGTGATATGGGAATGTAAATGTATCTCCCCATTCTGGCAAGCAGTGTTACAACACATTGGAAAATGGATAGATGTGGAGATACCAATGTCACCAAGACTATGCTTACTGGGGGATCAGTGATACCTAACATATCAAAACAACAAAACACCGTGGTACAGGTGGGGACGGTTACAGCTGCCAGAATAATCCTCAGACTATGAAATCATTAACTGTTCCGAATATTAAAAGTTGGTTGGGAACAATGTTGGAAATAGTGTCATACGTTCAAATGCTAAGTTAAACGATGACTTAGAAAAATTTAAGAAATCTTGGAACAATTTTCTTTACTGCAATATTGGGACAAGCAAACCTCTTTGAGGAATTGCTGTTTTGACAATACTGTTGATTATAATATTTTGTTTAGTATGCTTGATTATGTTAACACCGAGGATGTTTGTATATGCCAATATTTTGTGAAAAATTTTATTGATTTGATATGTGTAGACCTGGATGCTTTTTTTTTCCTTCTGTTTTTTTGTTTTCTGTATGGGATATGGGGAGGTTAGGGAAGGGTAAAATCTTTTTCAAAATAATAAAAACTTTAATTAAAAAAAAAAAAAGAGCAAAACATCGGACAATTGTGAACTGGCCTTCTGTGAGCCCTGCTCACAAAAATCTTTGAGCTACATCTTTGGCAGACAGGGAAATGTCTCATGCTGGACATTTTTGAAACACGTTGGATAATTTACTTTCTTGCCTCAGATTTATATCTATTTAATTGAGGGTACTGTAGTGACCTCCAGTATCAGAATATTTTACACTGTACATTAAACATGGTAGATAATAATTTTATGTACATGACAAATTACAGCTGCTATTGTCAAGGTTAAACCTTAGTAGTGAACAGATTTTTGTTGAAATAGTGATTTCTTGAAATAAAAAAAAGAAAAAAAAAAGCTTTGCTTATGCAAAACCTTTCTACTAGAAGGTTTGGACATTTACTCTTCTTAGTCAATTATACCAAGGCTGTTCAAAGTCTCTTATGGGTAATACTTTTAATGCATCCATCTATAGGACAGATTACCTAGTCCAGTTTTCACAAAGAGATCAAGCAGTTTCTTGATCTCTTGTCTGCAGCAAGAGTCGGCCGGCCTTTAAAAGCTCACTGATTGCCATGGTTACCTGCATGGTTTGTGCTGTTCTAACATTGCCAGCATGTTGTCAGTGTACTACAACTATTTATCACAGCATAATAAAATAAATTACACTACCAAATTGACAATGACATAAGATGCATCCAAATGATCCATAAGCATTACATGTAGGTGATTCGATGAATAGCCCAAATGTCGGACGTTACTCAATACCTATGTTAAATCGATTTCTTGACAGTAGGATCATCAGCAATCATATGTTGAAGCCCTCCAAATAAGAAAAACATATAGTTGGTGAGCAATAAGGCCCAGGAATAGGGATTTCCTGAAAGATATGTTTTTTATTTTTAAAAATAAATCATATTTATTATGCAACAGACAAATAAAATACAATATTTTTTTTCCTACTTTTGTCACAATGAGCGGGAAAATGAGAATGCAGCAGCATCCATCAAGGCAGGTGATAAACTAAGTCATCAGAAATGAAAAATGCTCTGGATTGTAGCACTGCATTTAACTCGCAAATTGTAATTTATTTTATTACTGTATCCTAAATGTTAATAGCTTAAATATTTAGAATAATCTTGCCTGCATTCTGAAGACGACACACACACACAGTAGAGTACAGTAGAGTCTAATCAGTGTGATGTCGACTGATAAGTCTGCTTAGATATCACTTAATACTAAACCACACAAAGGGAATGTTGTCTGTGAAAATTGTAAACAAAACATTAACAATTGCTCCAGCTTTATTTGCAAAAGTTGACAGGCTCACAAACCCACCTGTGACTATTACTGCAACTCAAATCTGCAATGAGTTACTCAATTTCAATTGCCTAACTATACATGCTTAGAAGAAATTATGAATCAATTAAGCTCCTCCTCCTGTTGTCTGGATATCATACTCACTACTTTCTTAAAGACATTTCTTAATGTCTTTTCATCTGATTTGATTCAATTAATAAATTCATCCCTCTCATCAGTTTGGAGTCACCTGGTGACATGATATTGTAGAGGTGAGTATCATCTGCCTAGAGAAGGTAGCTAATTTCATGTTATAACCTGAGCTAGTGGGAGCATATAGATATTAAATAAGAGAGGTCCTAGGATTGAACCTTGGGATATTTCACACAGAACTTCTGTCTGCTTCGATGAGAAGTCGCCTATTGAAACTCTTTGTGTAAGATTAGAAACAGTTGAGTAGTGGACCGGTGAGTCCGACCCAACTTTCCAGTCGTTACAGTAGTATGTCATGGTCAACAGAGTCAAACGCTGCACTGAGGTCCAATAGAACCAGCACTGTGGTTCTTCCAGTCTGCATTTATATGAATATCATTGAACACTTTGATGAGGGCAGACTCAGTGCAAAGAACAGAACAAATCATTTCACTGACAAATAATATAGAGGTGCAAGATGAAATTCAACTTTTTGTAAAGTATCTTGATTTGTGTAGTTTTGAATCATACCTGGAAAGGTGTCATCTCGCAGCTGGTAGCAGGTCTTTGGAAATGAAACAGCCTCTAACACATGGCTCCAACTACGCACAGGGATCGGAGGATGGAATCTATATTTTCCAATAGGGGGTACTGCATACGGAATACCAAGAAATAGTCGAATCTGATCATTTAGCAAATGCATGAACTTCCCTCGAATGCTTCCAGAGTTGGTGATGACTACAGGCCTGATCTCAGAGGAAACTGATTCAGTCAGGATGAGAAGAAGCAAAGGCTGAAAGACTGCCATGGGAAATCTAAGGAGAAAGCAAAGAAACAGATACCCATTATTATTTTCTTAATAATTAATACTTTTTATAAATTCCTTGATTTTATCAAGTTGAGCAGTATCTTATGCTCAACTATATTCACTTCTTTCATTGTCTGATTGTATGGGATCTAATTTGGGTGCAGTTTTAAATGTTCACATCTCTCTATATCTAGTTGTTTATTTATTTATTTATTTATTTATTTATTTTTTATATATTCTTCCTGGCACATTAACTCTACATTTGTCATGTGAAATGTACTTTGTAAAAAAAAAAAACAAATGTCACTTGATTTACAAGTACCATTCCCTTTATATAGAAACTGTTAGGGTTAAGAGTATACTCAGGATCTCATGCTTTGAATCGCTCATTCTGGTCTGGAGCACACTGCACACGTCTATCTATGTCCCTTATTTTGGAGTAAAAAGTAAAAATGCTAACATAATCATATAATGTCATAAATATACAGTACAGACCAAATGTTTGGACACACCTTTTCATTCAATGAGTTTCCTTTATTTTCATGACTATTGACATTGTAGATTCACACTGAAGGCAGCAAACTGTGAATTAACACATGCGGAAATATGTACTAAACAAAAAAGTGTAAAACAGCTGAAAATACGCCTTAAATTGCAGTTTCTTCAACGTAACAACGTTTTGCTGTGATTACTGCTTTGCACACCTCTGCATTCTCTGGATGAGCTTCAAAAGGTAGTCACCTGAAATGATTTTCATGTCACCATTTCGGGTGAATAAATGGGCATTCTTATAGGCTATGTCCGTCTCAGCTTGCAGATAACAGCTACATTAAATAAGCTAATTTAGCTAGGTCGACAGTAAGTGGAACTAGATTGTAGAGTCCTCAAAAGTGGTGGACGAGTAATATTTGTAGTGGACTTGTCTTGTTTTCAAATTAGATAGAAAGAGAGGAGAGCTAGTTCTAAGCTCGCGGATTGTTTCTTGTTGTCATAGCAACTCCGTAGCGGCTGCCCTCCAAAAACAGTTACAAAGTTTCCGGAAGTGTGGGGTCACGTGACAACTTATTTGTTTGTAAACACAGGAGGATATTCAACTGCCAAATAACCGTTTGACCGAACGAGGTCAAACGGTTTCGGGCAAAAAATAACGCTGAACTCAACAAACGGCACAAAATGTCAAACTTCACACAGAAACATTAAGATAGAACCCTGAATAACATATTCACACAGTTTATTAGCAAAAACAAAGTTGATTTGGGGGTCAGTTTCAATTTAAAGTGACAAGAGTGTCCAAAACAGTTCATTCTGAAAGGAGCTCAAAATTATGGTGTACCACTTGTAAAGTCACAGGGTAATAAATAAATAAATAAATGACAGTAATATTTTGGTTCATAGTACCTGTCACATAAAAAAAAATATGGGTGTTTTTTTTTTCAAAGTCATATTTTCATCATGTTATTTTAATATAGTTTTGCTGACGACTTAATGAGATCTAATCCTTTCTGAAGCACATTCATCATAGCATTAAAATCCACATATCACCACTGGAAAAGCTGAAGCACATATCAAATATGAGTGCACTAATTATTTGACAATGCTTACAATGCTTAAATTCATATGCTACTTTAAGTTTATACCTAATGAACATATCAACAGACAAAATACACAATACAGTACAATTCACAATCAACAAACCTTTTCAGTATTCGCATGGGCTGCCAGCATGAGACAATGTTTCTTGTTGCAAGGTGAAATACAAAGTGCTGCTCTATCTGTTATAACTGCTGTAACTGCTGTACTAACTGCTTTACTAACTGATGTACTAACTGCTGTAACTGTCATAACAGCTGGGGGAAAACAAGGAACTGTTATACAACAGCACTAGAGAGCGCAAATTCAAAAAAAGAAATGTATGTAGCTCAAAACAGAAGTCAAGGACTTCACTACAGAAACATCAAAAATACTGGCAAAATACAACATATTCAAACTTGCTGTAAATAAAAAAAACCATTGAACTTATTCATATTTTTGGAAGCATTCCCAAATTTTAATCCACACGACTTAGTTTACAAAATAAATATTTACATTTAAAATTAAATAATTAGTTAAGAAGCTAAACATTTAGCCTTTAAACTAAGGTTTACTTTCCAACTTGGTGTTTAACTCCAAATTGAATATCTATAACTCTAACAAAATATTTTGTTCCAAACAAGATATTGATTGTCGAAGCTAAACATTCAATTTTCAAACTAAATATTTATTTTCCAACGTAAGTATTTAGCTCAGACCTAAATCTGATCAGGTCTGCTCAGACCTGAATATTGTGCCTATTAGCTACATATTTAGCTAATATTCAAAAATGCCAACAAGGAAATGTGGAATATCAAAATAAAAGTTTTTTTTTTTTTTGACAGGCTAAATTAAACAAAATATTGTTGTTAATTTCTATTGTGTATCTTTACCAACAGTACACCATACACAATAGGGAGAACTCACCAGACTAAATCATATTATCGAAGTATGATTTAGTTCATTAAATGTAAAGAACTTGTTTTGTACAGCTCATAGATCTATCCTAACCTTTACAAGGAATCGCAACAGACCGCCATTAAAATGCATTGTTACACATCTGCAGCTTTTTTCCCATGTTTGTGTAAATATGTTTGTGTAAAAATCAGAGGAGGGGCTTGGCCAACAGCAGGTTATTTGGATTTAAAGTGACGAGGGCCAAAAACAGATCATTCTGAAAGAAGCCCAACATTTTGGAAAGCTTATCGTAAAGTTACTCAGTAAAATTTTAACAGAAATATTTTGGCTTATATAGCTTGTCATAGGAAAAATAAATCCTATCTTTTTTTTCCTATGACATAATTTCACCATGTTATTTGTAGCATGACACCCCGAACAAAGATTAAATTTAACTGATGGTGTTATGAGATTTAATTCCTTTAAAAGCACAACATATCACCACTAGAAGAGCTGAGACACATATAAAATGTGTGTAAAATGTATACACACATTTTATGTGTGTATTTTAAGTAGCATAAACTTATGCTACTTTAAGTTTATGTCAAATAAACATATTAACAAAATACACATTTAAAGTAAGTGCCTTTCAGAATGAACACACCTTTTGATTCTTCGGAGGGACCTCTAGTACAAAACCATCTTATTGCTCAGTGAGAAACAAAGTGGCCTACTAACTGCTGTAACTACTGTATTAACTGCTGTAACTACTGTATTAACTGCTGTAACTAATGTATTAACTGCTGTAACTGCAGTTAACTATTCTGATTGTGGAAAGCAACAAAAAATATTTGGATTTCAAATTAAATATTTAGTTAGCAGACTAAATATGTAGCCTAGGGCTATTTATCTACAGCCTCAGTAAACTAAACTATTGGTGTTGATTTTTTTTATTGTATAACTTTACAAATGCCGCCCAATACAAAAAAGGCAAAACTGACTAGACTAAAATCTCATAATCTAAAAATAATTTCCTATAAAACATTAAATATGTTTTTATAACTCATAGGCGAACCCTGAACTGTTCAGATGCCAGATAAAAAATAAAAATCAATACATGCACTAGATTTCATTGTTTATGTGAAAGTAAAGTCAGGCATTTTGTATGGAAAAATCAGTCCCACTATAGAAGGCTTATGAGTCAGCGTCACTTTGCATCAACAGCCACTCTGCTGTGAGTGTTGCTTTGTTATTCAAAGGATTTACAATTACACTAATAAAGTAATTTACAACTAGGAGCCAGTGCAGATTACCTCACTTTGTCTGGCTCAACTCATGCGAGCAGCTGCATCATGTTCAGCCCTCTGCATTTTCAATATATCAATGCTTAGTTTATCACCTGCCTTGATGGCTGCAGCGACGTCTTCATTTCCCTTTAAATGTGGCCAAACTAGGAAGAAATTCTAGTATTTTATTTGTCATGCAAGCTAGATAGAAATGCTGTTTTTTTTTTAATTAAAAAAAACAAATAGGGTTTAGGAAACCCCTATTCCGGTGCCATTAGTTTGGTCACAATTAGAGGGAAAGCGAGGATGTAGCTGCATCTATCAAGACAGGCGATAAATTAAGCCACCAAAAATTTAAAATGCAGCAGGTTAGAAGGGAGGCAGTGCTAGAGATGATGTACTGAAAAGAAAATCTCTGACAACTGCAGATGGTAAAAAGCTGCATGTGGGAGTTGCACTGGACAAAGATAGGTGATCTGCACTAGTGGCAAGTTGTAAAGTATTGTATAATTTATTGTATTATTATTATTACTATTGTATAATATGTTCTTGCCTGAGCTCTGGAGGCAACATGCACAGCATAACTTCTGACACAACGTGACGTTGACTGTTAATCTCTCTATAGATGCTGCTAGAAAGTTTGAAATGAGTACATATTTTGTGTGGTGCCACTTTTCAGACTGGTATGTTTATATTCACTGGATAGACTAGAATCAGTTCTGTTGATGCAACTTGTTCAGCTTTATTCATTTTTGGTTATTTGTTTATGTCTTTTAGCCTGCAAGTGACCCTTAGAGTGGACATCAACCTGTATGCATAGGTCCACAGGAGTTCTGCCATGTAGGAGCAGTTCGGTTGGACGATTACACAGATGGAGGTGGGAAAGAGATACATACAAAACTAGATATGGCAGAAGCAATTTGTTTGAGATGTGGAACCGCCTCATCTCCATCCTCACTGCACAGCATCAGGGATTAGGTGGTTAAAGGAAGAAATGACAAGAATTTGATGGGAGCCTTTGAGAGAGTGTCTCTCATTCTGGCATCATCAGAATAGGCTGTGTTGTGAAATGTAACCCCAAACATACAAGTTAATTTCACCCATGCCCCTTTAATATCAATATGCTGTTATGGAGGATGAGCCCAGAAGTTTTCAAAAAAGACAGGGGGAAAAAAAACCCCATTTAATTCATTTCTCGAGTAAAAGCCTGGAGCAAAGCGATAGCAAATATCCAATCATGGTGTCAGAGAGAAAAATATTGGTTTATGTCATGCTCTTTCTGTCTGTCACTCTGACATGTACTTCACAACTATCTGATTTCAAACTGTAAATATTTCAAACCATAATTTCAAATGTAAAATATGTCCGTATGCATCACTGATAAATCTGTCTGCAAAATATTTGTTCTCAATTTTGGACAAAAATGTGGTGATAAACAAGCCTCCTCATTAACTATCACTAAGTTATGAGGAGGAAATTCTTTGAATTCTTAACTCAGCCCTTCTCAACATGTGCACCAGTCTAGCGATCAGAATGGTCTCAAATATTCTGGTTTCTTATCTTTAGCAGTGAAAGCATCATGAAAATACAAAATTCTGACATTGTATAAGCATAAATATTCTCAGTTTATGGAAGAGAGAATGGAAAAAAAAGGGAAATGGAGCAGGAAGTTTACATAAAAACCAGTGGACTGCAAAAGACAGAAACTGTGTGTGACATCTTATTAACTGGTTTCCAATTGCACCACTCTAACAAGATAACTTGCTGGGGATTGTAGACTGATAAGAGTAAATTGGCCTGAACAGGACCAGCTGTTCCTAGACACAGAGAAATAGTTGAACTAGCAGATTTTTGTACTGCACCCAAAGGTTAAGCAATAGAAAATAACTGTAATAGATAAAAAAAGGTCTTTACAGTAATTGGTGTTGAACTTTCTTCAACTTTATAGGAACTCAGTTAACAATTAACAATATGAAAACATGGTTTTACCTTAAAAATAAACCAAATTAGAAAACAGACTTTTTAATCTTACAAAATAACATTGAAAAAATTAAAAATAAATAAAAACACCAGCTAAATTTACTGATGAATACATTTAGAACTGTTTCATTATTTAAATTTAAAAAGGTACTTAAAGTATATTCATCATTAGTCATCAAGTTCTCTGGAATAAAAAAAATCTCTTAAAAAATCAATTTCTTCATGCTCACATTAAATATAAAAATATTGTCAAATGGTTAATGGAGGAGTGATGTGAAGACTTCCTATAGGCAAAGTGTCAGAGAGAGCAAGAGTTTCTTAAAGAGTCAAGAGGCCTAATTTCAAGGCATTACATTAAGTTAAATTTATTTTAATTCATATTTAATATATACAGCATTTTATAACAACTGAAGGTAACATAGTTACTTCATTATGCTATAAAATGGCCTGAGACGTTCCTAAACTAAACATCACCAAACGTCCAGTTCTACATGTGAAAACCCAATGTTTTATTTTCTCACAGATTGTAATCATAGGCACTCCCTGAATAATTTACTGTATTTACTATTGCCAAGTTTGTTATGGCTATGGTATTTCTTGTTTACCTTGTCTTGTGTTTTTGTTATTGTTGCTGTTGGGGGTGAAGGGGTTAACATCATATCGTCTTATGAAAAGCCAAAGAAGCTGCAGTGTTTTACTTTCGTTAAACTTTCTGTTTTAATTTCAGAAGTTTTTGTGAAAGAAATCAGAAATCTAAAGCAACCTCTTTAAGACCTGGTTAACATTGACATGGTTTGAGCTGTGTCTCTTAAGTCTCCTTGTCTTTCCATTTCTACCATTGTCAAAGCACAAGCAGAAGTAAACACAGGAAGTTAAAAAAGCATAAACTGAGCCTTAAAAATTGAACTTAAACATAATTTATAGAAAAATGCAGTTATCAGGAATGATTATGACTGACTTGATATTCAGGGAAAATAGGATTGGAAAGTTTAATTTAGTTTATAAATATGTAAATGCCAATAAAGTGTTGAGAAACACTTATCTAATTTAATATTAGCTTTTGTGTCATGCGTTAACCCTCTGATGCGTGAGTGACTGACTTTACAGTCTTTCGTGACTGGGTCTTTTTTGACCCGGGTTACAATAAATGTGTTTTTTACTACTTTTGTCATTTTGATTCAAAATAATGTTTTGTATAATACTTTCTACTGTGTAACTTTTCATTACAAAGATATGACAAAAAGATGATCTCACCTGGTTAA